CGCTGGGACCGGCCACCGGTGGCTAGCGCATCCCTCGTCCTCCTCCACGTCCAAGCAGAACCGGCCAGGCTGTACCTGCCCCCGAAGCAGGGAGTTGCATCGGTCCCTCGAGTATTGACCACCGGTTGCAGTACGATGCCCAGTGCTGCTTCCTCTGGAAGTTCTGAGATTGGATGGGACGGTGGGAGGGGACGGAGCTGGAGTCCTGGCTTGGAACGCTCTTGGCTAGCTCAAGAGCTGCCATCTCTCCTCCCTTCCCCTCCCATTCCCTTCCCTCCCCTTGGAGTCGTACTTGTTCTTGGAAAGCTGTTCATGGCATCTCTAGAGAGCTGACTACCCGCAGCTGAGCATCACTGCTTCATCCACAGCTCCATCCTGGGAGCTGCTGGGGCAAGCGAGGCTGTTCTCCACCCTGTGTGGGTGTCCTTGGGAAACGCTGCCCAGCCACTGCCCACCTCCTCTTCAGGCTGTTTGGCACAGAGCTCCTCCGTGGGGAAGGTGGCTCCACGGGGAAGGTGCTGTGCTCCTAGGCTTTGCACAGCTCTGGCTTGGAGGCTGAAACTCCTTAGCATATCTTGGTATGCAAATGCTTTCCCCACTCCTTCCTTCTGGCCGTGGAAGGATGATGAGGATAGCCGGGCTCAGCAGTGATTTGCTGGGAGGCAAAGGCAGCCGACAGAGTGAGGAGGAAGCACGGGAGTACTTGTTGCTGCAGGTGTGCCTGGAAGGTACTGCTGGCTCCACATGGATGCAGAGGAGAGAGAAACTTGTGGGTATGACCTTGGCAGTGCTCCCAAGGACGGAAGCCTGCATCCTGGTGGGAATGTCAGGGCTGGGCTTGGAGACTCCTAAGTTGGTGAAGAGGGTTTCTATGTTTCCTAGAAAACTAAGGTGAGAGCTGGGTCTGCCTTCCAGCCTGAAGAGCTCTGTGGCACTGGTGGGAAGTGGAGGGAAGCCTCCCTGGAGAATCAAGGCAGCAGATGAATGAATGATTCAACTGAGTGAAGGTCAAAGCTGCAACAGGGCAGGGCTGCCTGGGGAGGACATGTCTGACAGCCATGTGCTTGCAGGTGCCCTGTGGCACACCAGCTTTGGCAGCCCTGGCTCTCTGGCATTGCCTGTATAATTAGTGAGTCAGTGGCTGGAACAAGGTGTTCTTGCCCTGGTGCATTGAGGTGACAGCTCTGCAGCTCTGGTGTGTTTGCTCTTGGCTGTAAATACTTTGTGGTTTTACAGGTTCGAGGCGCAGCCCGCGGTGCGGGATCGGCGTTTCCGTACTGCTGCTCCGGCAGGTGCCTGCCAAGGGGCAGATGCGAGGGCTGCTCTGACAGGGATGGCATCCCTCGCTTGAGTATTTGCATAGTAATTAGCCTGATTCTTTTGCGGATTAATTCCAGACACCTCCTGGCAACTAGATATTCAGTGCTGCTGGTGTCTCCTGTGGGAGCAGCTGGGGAGGATCAGCTCTGGGAGATAGGCAGCTTGGCCTTCCTCCTCTTGCCAATGGGAAGCAAAGCCTGGCAGAGAGGGAAGTGTGGAGCTGGGTGCTCAGGGATGCTGGTGGAAGTGTGTGAGGTTGGGGACAGGGAGCTATGCTGAGAAATGCCATGAAGTCCCTTCTTGATGCCTGCTGTGGAACAGTGCAGGTCTCAGCCTGAAAAGCTTTGGGCATCATGTCCTTGTATACACTTCTTGGCTGCTCTCTTAATCCTGTAGCAGGTTCAGTGATGTTCACCTGGTAAATGTGGCCACAGTGCTGTTCTATCTTCCAGTCAATGTGTCCCAGTTCTTTAAGCTGCCCACTCTCCCTGGGAACAACCCCAAGTCGAGCTCTGCATATGATGATCCAGTACCATGTGCCAGTCCGGACATCCCTGGCTAAATAAAACTGTTTATGAGAGGGATTGAAGGAAAACTAACTGTGCAGCTCAGTGGGAAAATAGCAGAGCAGCTGTGGAGCTGCTGCAGAGCAAAGCTGCTGACCCTGTGGTAGCAGCAGGGACTGGAAAGTTGTGCCGTTTCCCATCTGTTGCAGGTTTGCATTTCGGCTGTTGCACATGGGACTAGGGTTTGGCTGGAGCAGGGATGGGCAGCTGCCTGGTGCCAGAGGGGAGCCAGGAATGCTGTGCTTTCCCATGATTCGTATCCTGGGCTAGCAAAGTAGGTGGCCAGTAGCCCCTGCAGGGCTGTGTTTGTCTGGGGCTGTGATCCTGGGGCTCCTGCTGTGCACCTCAATAGTCCAACTTCTCCAGGAGTGTGGCTCTGGCAGATGCAGCCTGGCTAGGGGCATGGGGTGAGGAAAGTGTTAATCCTGTCCTCCTAGAAGAGGTCACAGCTGTTCGCGGGGAGGAGGAGAATGCTCCCCTGTGCAGCAGGGGCTGGGAGAGGTCAGCCCTAGGAGGATGGGGGGGATGAGGAGAGGAGCAGAGATCAGCTGCTGCTGCCCGGGCTGGGAAGGAGACAGCAGCCATCTCTGTGCCTCCCTTAGTGTGCTGTTCTGAGCCTGCCTGTGAGCCCAATCCTGCCTTAAAGATGAGCCCAAGCCCAGCACAGGCTTTGGTCAAACTTGGGAAGCCTCAGGGACCCAGCATGCCTGTTGATACAGGGCATCCCTCACCATGGCCTGTGACAGGGCTCCCTGGGGGGCTGATGCTGCTGGTTGGCACCTGTGGGCCAGTAGTGCCAGTGGCTCACTGGAAGCTGCTTTGCTCCAGGCATTGAATGGCTGACTCTGCATGTGCATCCCTCTTTCCAAATCTGAAATGGCACTACTGGGTGCCCTTAAGGCTGTTGAACAACTCTTGAGTTGTGTGAGAGAAGAGGAGGGGTGTTGCTTGTATCCCTTATCTAATTCCCATTGATACAAAAAGCAGTCTAGCCTCTGCAAGTGTGACAGTCTGTGAGAGCAGCCTTGGAGGGAGGTGATGAGCTACCATTGCTTGGCATCTTCAGATCCAGGCTGGCAGCACTTCATGCAAGGTTTTGCTTTCACTGGGTCAGTTTAGATGTGAGTCTAGATCATCCCTGTAGTCTTAGTGGTTGCATGTGAAATTTGGTGAGTCCATGCAAGCCACCCAACAACTGTGGGTATAGTGCCTGGAGGTGCTGAGGGATGTCTGGAAGCATCCCAGGGCTCCACTGTGCTGCTGGAGCAGTGCTAGCCCCTTGCAGTTGTGTAGCTTTGCCATGTGTGACTGCTTGGGGTGGTTCTTTGGACAGTAGCCACTTGCCCAGTTTACTGCAGATCCTTGGAAAGGACCAAATGCAAATCAGCCCATAGACCCTACCTGCCTGCAGGGCATTGACTGAGCACAGGGAGGACAGGAGTTGTGTTGCAAGGTATTGGTTCGTATGCTTCAGCTTAGATGAGAAGTTGAAAATAGTGACTTGTTGATCTGTGATGGCTGCACCTGAATTAGCTCTGAAATAACCCAAAACTTTACGATGGCTGCCTGAGGGAGGTAATTTGGGTCTCTCACATCCTTGCTCCTCCTTGGTGCAGCCTATGAAGCCAGAAGCACCTGCAGGTTGGTCTGTCCTCCAACAAATCATCTCTGTAAACAGAACTAGATGGCAAGTCAGGCTGCCCAGACCCAAAGCTGCCCTGTTCTCCGCTCTCCTTCCTCACTGCAGGGGAAGCAGTTTTCCTGGTGGGGCACTCTGGTTACAGTCGCATGCCCCATTAACGGTCTGAAATGGGTCAGAGCTTCAGATCATGTTCAAGGTTAACAGAGGTTTTGCAACTTGATCATAGTCAAGCGGCACTGCAGCGTTTCCCATGGACTCAACAGATGTTGAAGCATCTGGTGACTGCAGCAGGACAGAGTGATTCAATCCAGATGTTGGGACTCTCATTTTTTGCTGCAAAGGTAAATCACTTTCTGTGGTAAAAAACCAGCATCGCTCCCATCCAGACTTTGATGTTGCCTTAGATCTGTTTTCCAGCTAAACAGGGTGATTGAGAGATGTCAGGGTCAAGGCTTCAGGGCTGGCTCTGGGATGAGCACCTCTGTGCCAGGGCACAGTTGGAGCACCAGCATGGCACACTCACAGCCTGTGTGTGGTGCTGAGCCTGCAGCAGCCTCACCATGAGAAAAGCTTCTTGCAAAGTTCTTCTAGCTTCTGGACAGGTGAGCCAGCTCAGAGATAGAGGTTCTTTCCTCAGGCTAAGTGCAGAGGGCTTGGAACTAGGTGATCTTTAAGATCCCTGCCAACCCAAATCATTTTATGATTCTGTATGTGCAAGCTGAAAATCAACTTATTCCATGAAATTGCTCTGATTTTTCCAGAATCTATTAAAAATTAACAGTAGAAGCAACTGCTCCTCCAAGCTAGGGGGGAGGACAGAACCAAAATCAAACACCCAAACTCCAGCTCTGGTGCACAAGCAATTCCTTGCATACTAAAAAAACCCCCACAAATAGGTGACATTTAACCCTAGTTATGGGGTTTGCTGCAAGCTTTTGGGAGCAGCTGCTTTCTCTGCCTCCCTTTGCAGGACTGAAGCTTTCCCCCCAACTTTGTCATCCGTCCTCTGGGGATTTAAGGTTCTTCCCCTTGCAAGATTTCTTCAGAAATAATATCTACCCCTGCTCATTGCAGGCATGCAGATAGATAGATACACTCAGCCTTTTCTCACTGATGTATAAAATAAACACTTTTGAAGCCTGCTAAAGACACAGACCTGTTGGGGTGGGGGTTTTAGCACTGTTAACCAAAAATGATGAGCACAGCTAATTAGGAGGAAAAGTGCATTGAGGTTTCATACTGTGGGAGACCAGAGTTGGTAAAGAAACCCAAGCTGGCTTGATTAGCCCTTGGGGTTATGTGGGGACATGAGAGCAACAAAGCAGAGACTTCCCTGCCGAAATGAGATTGTCAGATGCGAGCGGATGCTTTCGGAAGGAGAGAAGTGTAGGCAGTTGCTGCCCTCTAGTCCAATGAGCAGCACATCTTTAATGAGGTCTGGGATTGTGTTACCCACTGTTGAGTCTAGCTCCCCTCAAGCCAGGATCTGGTTACAGAGGAGCTGGTTGCTGCTTTTACTACTGCTAGCAGAGGATTGGTGGAGTTGCCCAGCCAGGGTTTTGTTTGAGCAGGGATAGGGTGAGGGGGCTCTTCAAGATGCTTCCACCAGACCTGGGCACGCATTTGCCTTCTCCCCTTAGTCTTCTTTCAGTGTTGGTCTAAAACTCCTGCTGGAGGTGTTTGTTGTTTTTTTTTTTTTCCCAGGAGGAAAGGCTGCAGAGCTTCTGTACCTCTTTACCTCCTGCTGCCCGTCTGTGATCACAGATACTGCTATGGAGCTTCCAGGAACAGGCTGGCTGGGTGGGACTCAGAACAATCTGGGCTAGTGGAAGGTGTCCCTGCCTATGGCAGGTGAGTTGGAACTGGATGATCTTTAAGGTCCCTTGCAACCCAAACTGTTCTATGATAAGGTGCAAAGTGCCCAGACTGTTGCCCTCATGCTATTAGTGCATTGCTATAGTTATAGTTTAGGAACTTTTATTTTTAACCTCCCCAGCATATGCCTGTTACCTCCTCTGCTCCTCCCTGGCTGCTGTGGTACGTCAATCATCTACAATCCTCACTCTTCTGTCCCAGCTTGTGTGAGCTTCCATGTGTAACATATCACTTCTGTTTCCTTCTCCCCTGGAGAGCTGCCAGCCCCTGAGATTTATCAACTTCCCCCTTGGGAGCTGGCTTCCCTGTCACACATGGCACTGTC